AAGAGCCTGGTATAGAACATAAAGTAGTAATCAAAAATTTGCTCATTAAGTTACTTAAAATTAATTTCTCTTCTCAAAGTGCTTCAAAAAACAAATTAAATCTGACTCTTTTTGTTTAACTGAAAATATAGTCAAAAAATCTTTGATATTTTCATAATAAACTAACATAAGCCAAGAACTCCCACTGATGCAGTGCTTAAAACTATATATTTATAATTTCCTATTTTATTGGCATGAATATTTCTAAACTTAAAAACCTTCCTGGTAAGTTCTTTTAATTTCTTATGACAAAAATTTCTCACAACACACAAATATTTACAACATATACATTGTTTTCAGTTGTTTACACTGAATTTCAAAGACAAACATTTTTATAGGTTACCACAGAACAAAAGCTGTGACTCATGTTTTTATTTCATAAACTATTATAAGTTAAAGTGAATAGATTTTTTTTAATATTCCTTGTAGCATTTTACAAGTGCAACAGAAAACTTGAAGACCCAAATTAAGATAGCTGTAGTTCATTAGATAAACGTTGCCTGTTGTCATCACATTGTTCACAGCAAATTTTGAAAAAATAAGCACCAATCATTCTTGCAAAGAACAATTTTATCTAAAAGGATTGAAAAGTTAAATACAAGGTCATTAATTTACATGACAATAAATACGCTGTATCCAAACTCACCCTGCATACTGCTACCTTTGTACATATAATGTACTGAAAGTGAGCTGTCACGTGTGTAAATGTATTTTTTTTAAAGAAACCAATTTGACTCCCAACCAATGGTTTGCTATATTAACAAAGGCCACAAACAGTACAGCTGGGCCAGCAAACAGTGTGAAATTGACAAACTCCAAGGAGGGGAAACATCTAGCAAATAAATCAAAAAGCCAAAGATCGTTGCTGGTGATATTAGCATACTAGAAAATCTTAATATGCTGCTACTATGATTTGTTTTAAATTATTGTTTAGACATATATTAAAGAGCCAACTGATGCTCTTAAAGTTAAAAAAAAATTGTGTAGCCACATTATTGTTTTCAACGTCCTGTGTGGAAAGTTGCTATCACTGTACAATTTTGCTTGAGCCTTTATTTTACAACAGGGCTTTACCTCTAACTCAGAATTGCACGTAAGAAGGCTATTTAAAAAGTACGATAAAAATTTGCACAAATTAGACTTAAGAAGAGTCAGTATGCTGTACATTTTCTACAATATTATGCTGATAAGTGAAGAGACAATAGAAGTGCTGCCACTAAAATGTTTCAGTTGAGGAATAATTGACTGGAATTTTTTATTTCTTTAAAGTAGTTATCCCAGGTCAAATTAAGACCAAGAGCTTATGCATTAAGCCTTAAAGACTGATCTTCTCTTCTCCTTGAAGAAATGTCAATATCTATAGAGTCTTTTCCAACTATTAGCCTCAATCGCTTAGCTGGAGGAAGAGGAATAAAATCATCTTCAAAGTCATCATCATAGTCATCTTCCTCTTCATCTCCCTCAGAAGAGGAGGAATCATCTGTACTTTCTTCCTCATACTGACTATACTCATCCACCTCCATTCCAGACTCCAGGAGAGAAAGAGGGTCACTGCAGCACACCCCATTTTCATGAAGCCCCTCTGCATAAGACCCCCTACTTTCCTCATCCCGTTTTAGCTGGATTTTTAATTTTGTAGAACTACTGCCTGATCCTGAGTTAAATCCATTATTAAGCTTTGCTACGTAGAGATTATTATCATTTTCATGGTCTTTACTTAACTTGATGCTTATTTTTGAAGAATTCATTCCATCACTCTCTTGGTCATTTGTCTTGCTGCTGCTGTCGTGACGCCTCCGAAGAGTCAATTTGGGAATCCCAGAGTTATTTTCTAGGATCAGCTGTGCATCATACCTTGTAATGCGCCTCTTCTTTTTACTTTTTGCAGTTCTAAAGCCGTCTTTCATTTTGAAGCTATCTGATGTAACCACCGCACAGCCGACGGACGAAGGCGCGCAGTCTGCGTAGCTCACAGGCGCTCCTGTCGTGCCACTGTGCTCGCCCTGGGCAGGATGGGGCCCCATCAGATCCGGCACCGCATCGTCTTCCCC